ACCTACATGGTGTGATTTTGAGTAAATCCCACCGCAGAGTTCATGGACACCTCACTACATGCACGTGCAAATGCTCCTCTCCCTCCCCCGCTTCTTTCTCCAACTCCTCATTATTTGTCTCTTCTCCATCACAAAGTGAAGGGACCTGAAGCTTGTGATCCTTTCACCGGTGGTATGAGGCATGCTTCTCATCACATCGAAAATATAATTATTTTGCTCTCTTGTCCTACACCTTTATTTTTGTGAGGACTCTTGAAGTTAATTCCAAGGCGGGACCCCATATTCCTCTACTCTGACACCTGTTTCTGAAATGAAATTATCTAGGTATTTGGTGTAATGGTCATCGAAGTACTCTAATGGAATCCTCCTAGGGAGCCGTCTTTAATGATCTTCTCCATTTGGTTGTTGTCTTCCACCAACTGGGCGAGCTCCATTGCCTCACTTAATCCCCATGATCTCCATAATTGGAATGATGCATGTATGTCGGCCTTTAGACTGTTCATGAAATTCATTTTCAATCCCGCTTCAAAAACCCCCTCAACTGTCCCGACAATAGTACAAATCTCTTCCTACATTCCATGACAATCCCCTCCCGAGTCAAGGTATAGAACTATTATTTAAATCACCTTCTCAAATGACTAAAAAAGTCTCAACAAGTAATCATTGAATTCCTCTCATGAACGGGTCAGGTATCTAGTCAACCTCCACTGAAATCATGCTAGAGAATTCCCTTTCAAAAATAGCTTTGCCGCAACGAGGTTATCCTCCCCAATTAGCCCATTCATCATGAAGTATCACTCCACCCTATACACCCATCTGGGTATGTCTTATTCTTCGAAGATCAGCATTTTCAACTTCCTAACCCTGGCATCAACACCCTAACCTCCTCTCCCTCTAGTATTTCCCCAATATATTTAAGGTGAAACTCTTTCCTTTGTCATAGTCATATCCCATTCCAGTTTCTCTTCTCCATTCTTCATGCTCCTCCAAACCTCTTGCATAACCCCTCTCCATGTTTCGACCCAACCCCTTTCAATCCACCCCCTATGAGAGTTCTAAGGGGGAGTTCTTGATAGTGGATACTTTCCTCCATATGCTCCTCTCATTCGATCTCTTTCCCCTTTAAATTGGCTAAAGATTCATTGACCAACTCTAGGCTAGGATTTGCAATTTGAATTATATATGGGGTTTTGGATTACATCTCGATAAGCCTCCTCCTCCTCCTCCTCTCCTCCATGCCCTCAAATCAGTTTTCTATGGAGTAAAATCTTTCGTCTGTGGTTGAGAACCTTTACTATATCCCAAATTTAAGTTGTTCTACTTCTCCTTCCAATATCACCTCCAAAACAACTTTCCATGTTGTCATCTCTCCGAGATCAAGCTCTGATACCAATTTGATAAGGAATAGGCTAATTTTACTAATATCCAAGCAAACAAACAGGATATAAGGGCGGTCTACAACTCGAAAGATGGATCGGCTTAAAGTGGATAAGGCATCAAGAACAAAAAACTTCCATCACCAAATGTTAGACGAGCATCAAACAGTCATTATTCATCATCTCTTAAACAACTAGATTCACAAGAGTGTCTCCTTCTCAAAAATGGAACCATGATTAAAAAATTTAAATGTATTCAATCACTCTCTTGGTCAAGAAGATGCATTCATCTTTGGCATTCCCCACTCTCTTCTTCATGAGAATTTATGTTCCTACAATGTTTAATGTAAGAAGAAAACCTTTTTGACTTCTCACTAATGATTCATGCATCTTTTATGAAAGAAGCGCTTGTACGCCCCCCTTATCCCAACATGATGGCTTAAAAATGGCTTAAAGATGGTGCTTGAGAGAAAGGCCTTATCACTCGAGATAGCACGTTACATCAAGATGAAGAACCAAAAACTTATATCACCCAAGAGTATCATACTGCAATTATTCTTCATCTCTTCAATAACTAGATTCAGAATAGTGTCTGCTTCTCAAAGCAAAACCAGACACAAGATGAGAAAATTTGAATGTATTCAACCACTCACTTGGCCAAAGGATGCCTTCACCTTTGGCCACTCTATTCTTCATAAAAAGTTACATTCATACAGAGTTCAATGTAAGAAGAAAATTTCCGTGACTTCTCACTAATGAATTTATGCATCTATTTTTCAAATCATATATGTGAAATCAAGAAAACAAAATCACTTGAGTGGGCATCTGCCACAAGTCCATATCCCGTATCTTATTTCTTAAAAATGTTCCAATTATCTAGACTCTTATAATGCAAAACCAAAAAAAGCATGCATCCACAAAATAAAAATCTTCAACTTTCCTATCTCATGCTACATAAGCCATTAGCTCATCCTCACCAAAAAGACACATTCTAGATAAAATTACTTTCTGCCATATCCTATGCAAATCAAAAGTCATCAGGAACGTGCATGAATATAGGGCAAAAAAGTGCTAAAATGTTTCTTAAATCATTATAACGAAGGTTGCCCCAAATAAGAAATAAAAATAATCAAGTTTTAGCATACAAGAATCTATAATGTCAATAAGAACATGAAATTAATTTAAAATTTAAAAACGCGCAAAAATTAACTTAAAATACAAAAACAAGCAAAAGTTAATTAGATATAAGAGCACACACACACACACACAAAAAATCAATCCTTAAAAGTTATGGTATCATTAAGTTGTGTAGGCAAGATAAGAGCAATGATACAATGAGAGAATAGTGGTAGACCAATCTCAAAACATCCTACGACTGTTAAAAAAACTGATGTTATGAGGTAATTAAATAACAGAGACTGAAATTAATGATAATAAAAATCCATGAGTGTCCTTCCATGCAAACCTGTGAAGCAGTTTGTCATGAAATAGTTAAAACTGCATTAGCATTCAAGACTCACTAACCTTGCAGCCAAAAGGCAAAACTCGTTCAGCTGGTAAAAACTCCAGCCATGTGTTTTTTGCTTCAATATCAGGAAGAAGACCGGCCTTCTCATCTCCTCCAAAATAAGTAGCATAAAGGCGATCTTTGGGCAATGCATAAACCTACACAGGATAAAGCATGCCAAATGAAATTAGTCAGTTTTCCAACACTGACCACAAATATAGCAGATTCAGAATTTATAACAAATCAAACCAAATCAACATTTGAGGCTTCCTTGAATCATGAAAGTCATAAAGCTACATTTCAAATAGATTTGGCCTAAATTCAAGATTTACTATATCCTGCTGAATTTACTATAGCCTGCTGAAGAAGTATCTATTGTAAACTAATCTGTACTTTTCAGCTATCATTTATAATTTACCATTTATCAATCACCACGTCTAATTGCACTTGCCTGCCACTAAGTATCACACCATAATAACCTCATTTAATTGGCCACGGGAATTACAATGCATTTAAAGGCTTCAATATGGGAGATTTTTGGAGTGGCTTAGAAATGAGCAAGTGAAAGATTGCTCTTTTGTGGGTCAGTGAATCCTGAATGCAATAGGCCAAAACTTTTGGGTGAGTGTTTTCCCTAATCCTTATAGGTGAGCTAGTACCCGTAATTTTGGGAGAGTGAATCCCTGATTATGTCATATAAATTACATTCATTGCAATGAAATTCCTCTTTTTATCTAATTTGAAATAAGCCTCTTTTTAGTGGCTGCATCACCTGCCGCTAGCATGACTTAAAAGGATACAAAAGTCCGGTTTTAAGGATTTAGTTAATCCTCATACTTCCACCTAAGCAAGTTTCGGTGTTTTAGTTACACACACGCACACACAAAACACAAAAAACATTTTTATAATTTGACCTTCCCAACATTCCTAAACTCGTTTCACTCACAACCAAACTAAAATCAATCACTCCTAAAATCTAGTTAGATAAAAGAGAAACCTCCGTAAGAAGCTCCCACGCCCAGGTGATTGCCTCCTTCTTGAAGTAATCACCAAAAGACCAGTTTCCAAGCATCTCGAAGAAGGTATGGTGGTAAGTATCCTTTCCAACATCATCGAGGTCGTTGTGCTTGCCGCCGGCACGGATGCACTTCTGGGTGTTGCAGGCGCGAGTGAGTTTTCCAAGAGGCGTATTAGGGTTTGCAGTTCCGAGAAAGATGGGCTTGAACTGGTTCATCCCGGCGTTCGCGAAGAGAAGCGTTGGATCGTCAAGCGGAACCACAGGGCTTGAAAGCCAGTTGACGTGTCCCTTCCCTTCGAAAAAGCTCACGAACGTGTCCCTCACCCTCTTCGCCGGCCATTCGACGGGCGCCGCCACTTCTTCGATCGTCATCCTGGCCGTTCGTCTCAAAACCCTAGCGTTACTGGCCAACTTTGCACGGGGCAGAAGGGGATGGCGGAGGAAGGGGCTCAGGGCGGGGATCATTTCTGGAAAAATTAATTTAATTAAGGTTAAGCCGCGCCGAAATTAAGCTGCACGTGCGCTAAGCAAGCGCACGTATAAGCCGCATCATAGTTTCCTAAAATGTCACCCATCTCACCCGCACATTTAAACAGAGTTCAGTTTTATTCTATTTATAAATGAAATGAGTTTTATAATCTCCCTCATTTAAATTAATGACCATAAGTATCATCCAAAAAGATATTTATATTTTTAGACTAATGTAATGCTTTGATATCATTTATAATAGCTCAAATTGTCACCATTTGGGATATTATATGCTTTGGCCTAATGGCCCCATGGTATTGTCTAGTTGGTGTAATTTCATAGGAGAACACTCATTCCAAGACTGCTCTCGTATGAGGAGCTTAATTTTTTGAGTTTTTTTATGAAATATCAATAGTTATATTGAAAGGCGCATAAATGTTTAGGAGTCTAGCATTATTCTACTGATAGTGTTTTGCAGCTTTCACGTCTCTCGATGTCCTTACTTCCTGGCCTTCTCAATGATCTTTCTTATAACAACACATGCATGTCTCTTCTTCCCTCACCTATATTGCGCGCGCGCACACACACACACTCTCTCTCTCTATCTCTTTAATAGTTTCTTAAGTCATTTACATGCATACCACACAATTCATATGTATTTATGTATCTAACTGAACTATAGTTTTTACATTTATACCACTAAATATTTCATATCACATGAATATATTATTACTTTAGTTTTTTAAAAGTAAAATGCATATTTTCAATTATATGTAAAGTGACATGTACAAATTGAAGTTTAGGTATTAGATTTGCAAATATATAGAAATAATGTGGTATGTATGTGTTGTGTGTCGGAAGATTTACGGTGGTAGAGTAATTATTTAACATCTTAGAGTTGTACGAAAATTCAGCACACACAGATAATAGAAATAACATGTTGAGACACCAAAATTTTTTGCGAAAACTCAAAAAGAAAAAACCATAGGACCCGACCCTGATAGAAGGATCTGTTATAAGCTTGTGAGTACAAATATGGATATTCGTCCTACATACGAAAAATGGTTAAAAAGACACTTCAAGGATACTATTCGTATGCAAGAAGGGTTCCTTGTATAATGGTCGGGAGTGGTTGCTACCGGGAGTGATTGTCAGAACTTCAGTTTATCGTCTTTGAGGCTCGTCATTGCACAATATTTAAGATGTGTGTTTTTGTTCTTTTTCTCTCTTTTAATTTTGTAGAAGCCACCAGCTTGTCTATTTGTAATCCTCGTATTATTCCCTTATTCGAGTATATCTCCCTCTTGAATTAAATAAATAATCGAAAGAGGAGAGAAAACAGAATGAGGAATATACGACAGGCAATAGTAAACAAGAGAAAGAGTGGTGGAGAACTTTGTAAAAGTGAACTTCGAGTGGATTGCCCCAAGGCGTACATCCAAAACCAAATCAGGTCGAAAATACCTTAGAAAAACATATCCGCGAAGAGGACCTTACGAAATCTACCAACAACCAAAAAATCAAGTTTGGTACCTGTTTTGGAGTCAAGAGCACTCCCAAATGAATGTATTCTTTTGGTTAATTACATATCGGGGGATGTCCAGGGAAACTTTCGATAAAAATGGTCTTGCTTACAAAATAGTGAGATCTGGTTAATTAGGAAAGCAATGGATTTAAGCCATCTCAAGTGAGAGTCTCGATGCTCTTGAAATCTATATCAAGCCATAAAACTGAGGGTGAACCACCGTAACCACTACAGGTGGCGATGCTTAGGCATGTGAGGCCCACAAGACGATATCAACAATTTGTCAAAAGGCTCAACATGGCTCAAAAGAGGGTAGTAAAAAAATGGAGGAATATTCGTGAAAGGTAGACGTAGTTGGGTCGGGGTAGCGCAGACTTGCCATCCCAAGGTACTGAGATCTTAAGTCTAATTAGACATGAAAGTAGTCAACCCAATATGGCCAAAGATCCCTGGCCAGCAATCTGTGAATTGTGTTGTCCGCGGGAACTTCGGTAGCCCTAAAGTTAAATGAACAAAAAATTTATCTCATGACTATAAGGTGAGCTCCATAAGGTGGGACTTATATCCGTCAAAGTGGCGAGGGATGTCGTTGGAAACAAGGAGAATGGGGGGTTTAACCACGAAATTGGAAACAGTCACAACAGAAGGACTTACATTCCATCTGGGTCGAGAAACCTTCTAATGACCTATGTATCTAGACAACCTCTCATGTAAAAAGATATGTCCTGCTAGTCAGTAGAGAGGAGTGTGAAGACTCCTTCTCGAGAGTATGCAATTGATGCAGTTATTTAAAGCTGTCATTGGATTTTGTGGATGTCATATTAGACATGATAGGGTGTATAACTATGCATGCGATCCGTTTTAAATCCGGGCCAAAGGCCATGTAGAAAAATAAAGACAAGTTTAAAAAATTCTGATAATTTTAATCCTAACTTTTTATTCTCTCAATATTTTACTATTAGAATTTTAAAAATTTTAACATTTTAAGTTATATTTAGCGATATTCCTAGACAAACCAGCAATAAGAAACACTGAAAAGAAAGAAAGTAATCTCAAACATGCAAACATGCAATAGAAAGTAAAAGCACATCAAAATATATTAAAAAAAGGACAGTGTTGCTGGGTTGACGACATGTCCCAAGAAAAACAGGAAAAATAGTCAGGCTTCACATAAACATACAAGAATGTAAATTCAGACTTAAGATATGAGACATTACCTTGCTGCTCCTGGTCTCATGTCACGTGGCTCGATACGTCGTGCACCTCAGAGCCCGTGCCCGTACCTTAGTTCTGATACAGATGTAATCCTAAACTCTATCAAATACATGATAAAATAAAAGACTCAAGTTGCAAAAAAAAGTGTTAGCATTTGTTAAAATGCAACACATATGATTCATGCCTGACAGGAGGAGCGAAACAGCTCCTACAAAAAAGAGTTAGTAAAAATAATTACATTGATCTTCCCTGTAACAAGTGACTGTGTGTGTTTTTAGGCATGACTCCATGCAAAAGAACCAACCTAATGTACTATTGTGCATGTAAAAATATGGTAAACATGCAAACACACCAAAAACACAAGTAGAAAAAGGCACCTGACTCGAACAACCAAGTCGGCACAGAACTATAGTCAGGTGCCAAAAATACTACAAAGCAACCTAGCCCTAGCCTTGCACACAACGTAGCGGAAAAGTGTCATTACCAGCATTTAATTGTATAGGATAATGTCCACGGGCATATATGACTTTGACGGGGTCACCACACCAGCCCTGTACTAAAGATCTAAGATATCTAAAGGGAGTCACACATTATAGTTTTTTAAAAGACTTGGCCTTACATATGGCCTACCTTGGTATTTGCATAATTTTGAAATTATGGTGGATATCATACATAGAAAATATAGATTTTTTTTTATAGTTTTAAAATAGGTTCATTAAATGCGTACTTGTAAATTGTAGGGTGACTGAAGTTAGATCCCTTGGATCTTTAGCATAGTCATACTGGTGCGACCAAGATGCAATAATTCACATTGTTTGTCAGAATCAACCCAGCAAGAAACGCTCATTAAAGAATGGTGATCAACACCGGGTCACTCATTTATCAAGTTTGGCTTGCTATCAAGCTCACATACAAATGAAAATACAAGCAAAAAAAAAACGTAGTGATGATGAGTATGCAGTGAAGGCATTGACTCAGAAGGTGTGAGCGTATCACAAAGGCATTGGCTCAAGGTGTGAGTGTACCGTAAAGGCATTGGCTCAAGGATGGGTTTGTTGAAGCGACAGTGACCCGATGAGAATAGGGTGTCTCGAGCAAGAGCCCCAAGGGACTCACATCCGCTCGAGAAACTAATCAAAGTGAGCATACCAAAGAGGCATTGGCTTGAAGGATCGAGTGTATTATAGAAACATAGATTCAAAAGATGGGTATGTCGAGTTGGCAATGACTCGAAGAGAATAGGGTGACTAACTCAAGCAAGAACTCAGAGGGACTCACATTCGCTTGAGAACTAGTCGAAGTGAGTGTACAATGGAAGCAATGGTTCAAAGGATGGGTATACCAATAAGGAAATGACCCAAAGGATTGGGCATGTCGAGGCAACAATGACTTGGGTATGCCAAGGTGGCAGTGACCCGAAAGGTTAGGTATGTCGAGGCGGCAGTGACTCGAAAGGTTGGGTTTTTCGTAGAGGCATTGGCTCAAATGATTGGGTATGTCGACGAGGAAGTGACCAAAGGAGAATGGGTATACTGAGGTGGTAGTGAGCCTAAATGTTGGGTATGTTTAGGTGACAGTGACCCAAAAAGTTGAGCATATTGTAGATGCATTGGCCCAAAGGATTGGATATGTCGAAGAGGTTGTGGCCCGAGAAGGTTGGGTATGTTGAGGTGGCAGTGACCCGAATGATTGGGTGTGCTCAGGCGATAGTGGCCCGAAGAGTTAGGTATACCGAAGGAGGCGTTGATTCCCATTAGAGGGAATCATACACAATTATTGTGAGTGTGTGAACAAACACTCCAAAGCAACTCAAGTATGAAACACAAGATCATGCAAAGAGACACAAACATAGATGTGTGCGTAGAGGGATGTGATATGCACATGCCATGAAAATGTCACGAGCAGAGACGCTGAGTATCATGCTCAAGTGAAGCATGACTACTAGCCATGAACGTGGAGGGATTGATCGCCTGATCGCCAGAATTTCAGTACATTGTCTTTGATGTATGACTATGCACAATATTCAGGATATTGCCCTGCTCCATAAGGTGCTTTCTTACTTCACAATGTAAATCGTTAATCTACTCAAGACTTAGATGCAAAGCATGTTGTTACTCTGCACGACATAGTTGTTACTTCGAAGGTTGCACTAATGTCAACAACCAGGGGGCATTCGATGACAAGCGGCAAGCAGTGGTTGACGATGGTCAACAACTACTGGAGTAATTGTCGGGTCTTCGGATCCAAAACGATTCTCAGATTCCTCTCTCTTCTCTAGATCAAGGTCTCCATCTAACTCTTGCCCCACCAGATGACCCATAACGATTACCCTTGATCGGATGACATTTTTTGGACATTTAAGTGCTTAAATGATATCAGAAATGAGTGATCTCAAGCTATTTGGATTCGTGTCATCGAAACATTTGATTTGATCTGACTATAATATTGTCAGATTTAGAATCCATTTGACCCTCCAACTAACCACCCAACGCATCCAAAAGTATTTTGATGGCTTGATCTAGGTTTGATTCTAGTCGGATTTGATCAATTTTAGTGTCATTGGGTTTGACTCCTCAAGCCGATCAGTTAAACATTAAGTTTGCTAGTCTTGAATGATTTTTAATTTGAATTTTAAAATTTCTTCTTTAAAAAATATCTCGAGATTTATTTCATCCCTCAAAATTCATGTCAAATGATGAAAATTCACTGGTAACGTTCCTATTTTATTTTTTTGGCTTTTAAAGATTGTTCTGTGCTTGGGATGCACTTTGAAGATCAGGAGATCAATTGCGGATCACTGAAAACATCCCAAAAACAAATGCAATAAACAACATCTCACAACTCTCATAAACTTGACTGCAACTTTATAACATCATTTCATCTCCTGAAACAATTTAAATCAAGTTGCAAGCAAATCCTCCCAAACCTCACAAAATACATACAATACCATTGCTGGCATTATAGATAAAACTAGATCTATTCGAAATTGTCCATGTAGGCATAAGAGCTTCAAAGTTATCATAAGCAATATAAGGATTCCAAGGCTTTTGCTTCCTCATTAGAATTCTTAACAGACAAGTCGCCTCAAGGCATTCATTTTAATGTCCCTTTCATGCTTTGTTTTCATGCGTTGCTGATTGACAACTTATCAGAATACAGTTGACGAAGAATTTTTCATGGATATTAATATTTAGGTCCATTTAAATACATACCACACATTTCTTAGCTTTAATGTTTACATTCTTGAACCTCAATTTTTTAATATCACAATAAAAATATCATTTATTAAAAACCTATTTGTCATGAATGTAAATATCAATATTTAAGTGTTAGATATAAAAATACATAAAAGTTGTGCGGTTTGGTTGTAAATTTTCCATATATAT